AAATATGCAAAATCTATACAAAAAGTACTATAAATTGTTATTTTTTGCCTATGAATATGATGAAAAAACACATTGTAAAATATTAGTTAAAATTCTTATAGTTTGACTCTAAAAAGGAAATCATAACAATTAAAAGTGCATAGAGAGAGTAATAAATAGGTAATTAAATTTCAAGAAGTTTAAAATAAAATGTTGAAAAAAGAATTAGATAGACAACATATATTGAAAATTGAAAACATATAAATAATAAATGGGCCCAAATGAGATCAAACTTTTTGGCTAATAAAGTAGTAGGTAATTAATGGTGTTAAATTGTCCAATAATGTACAACACTATCAAGCACATATCATCCAACGCTTGTCATGTGCTAAGTAGTAGTTATTCCCACTTATTATTATTATATATATATATATAGTAATTAAAGGTACAACCATAAAAGAAGAAAGTAAAACACTATCAAACACATATCATCCAACACTTGTCATGTGCTAAGTAATAGTTATTCCCACTTATTATATATAGTAATATGGACCTATTAATATTATAAATTAATAACTTTTTGAAGTACAAATATATCTAGTGAAATATGATTCTATTATTTTTTGTTAAAATTTAAATCTAGTTGAAATTCATTTTTAGCTTTTTTTTTTATTGCATTCAAAAGTTCCGGTGTTGCTACAACTGCAAAAAATTTTGAGTGCATGGAATGATCTCTATTATATTAACATAATACTTTACGTATTTGATTTGTCATTGCTGATTTTGTGATAAATAAGAAGTCATTTTGAATATGGTTTCAAGAAATTTCCTACGTTACTTATATAGTTTATTCTCTCACCAGAATGTTTTTAGTGAAGATACAATAGATAATATTTTGTGACACATTTTAAATGAGAAGTCATTTTTTGATATGATTTCAAGAAATTTCCTATCTTGCTTATATATTTTATTTCTCACCAGAATATTTTTAATAAAGATACAATGAATAATATTTTGTGACAACTTTTAAATGAGAAGTCATTTTTGATATGGTTTAAAGAAATTTCCTATGTTGCTTATATAGTTTATTTCTCACCAAAATGTTTTTAGTAAAGATACAATGAATAATATTTTGTGACAACTTTTAAATGAGAAGTCATTTTTGATATGGTTTAAAGAAATTTCCTATGTTGCTTATATAGTTTATTTCTCACCAAAATGTTTTTAGTAAAGATACAATGAATAATATTTTGTGATACCTTTTAAATAAGAAGCCATTTTGAGATATAATTTCAAGAAATTTTCTTTATTGTTTATATAGTTTATTTTTTACCAGAATATTTTTAGTAATGAATAATATTTTGTAATACCTTTTAAATAAGAACCCATTTTGAGATATAATTTCAAGAAATTTCCTTTGTTGCTTATATAGTTTATTTCTCACCAGCATGTTTTTAGTAAAGATACAATGAATATGTTTAATAAATTTATTTTTTTATGTAAATTTAATAAATATGATATCATCAATCAAAATTAACAAGTTACCATAATTTTAATACCTCTAC